CCCCCAAACACTGAATTCAAGCCACAGTACACTGTGAAGACAGTGAAGCATGGTTGCGCAAGCATCATGATATGGGGATGTTTCTCATACTATAGTGCTGGGCCTATTTATCGCATACCAGGGATCATGGATCAGTTTGAATACATCAGAATACTTGAAGAGGTCATGCTGCCTTATGCTGAAGAGGAAATGCCCTTGAAATGTCTGTTCCAACAAGACAATGACCCCAAACACACCAGTAAACATGCAACATGTTGGTTCCAGACCAACAAGATTGACGTTATGGAGTGGCCAGCCCAATCCCCGGATCTTAATCTAATAGAAAACTTGTGGGGTGACATCAAAAATGCAGTTTCTGAGGCAAAACCAATAAATAGAGAAGAACTGTGGAATGTAGTCCAATCATCCTGGGCTGGAATACCTGTTCACAGGTGCCAGAAGTTGGTTGACTCCATGCAACACAGATGTACAGGAGTTCTCAGAAACAGTGGTTATACAGCTAAATATTAAGTGATTCAAAGGAAAGCAAAATCTTCAAACATTTTTCAGTTTATATAGTGAATGTTTGAGTTTGTAAAGAAGAATACAAACACTGCGATTTTTTTGAACAGTCTAATATTCACTTTTCTTCAATTTTTTTAGAGGAACAACACAAATTTGATATATTTTTCTTCATGTTTTGATTTGGAATAGAATGTGTAGTGTTCGCAATGCATTTGTGTGTATGGAAATAAAAGCTATTAGAAGGATTTTGAGCTTTATTCACTTTTTTCAACACACTGCTATTATTTTGAACACACCTGTATATATATATATATAGTCTGATTGTTATATTTGTAAAAAAATATAAACAGCAAAAGTTTGTTTTATTTATTTTAGATGCGCACTTTCTTAGCTCCTGGGGAAGTGACAGTCGCGAAACATGTAGTGCTAATTCCAGCTGAAATCATACTAGCTCCCAATTGGGATATCATATCTATATTCATTCAACTGTCCAAGGTCATCTCAGTCATCGGTCATCTATTATGATACCTTATAGTGCATACAGTTGTTGAGGAGCTGTATGATTTCAATCAATATATTTATGTACTGGGTGCAAGTTCTTCTATTTACAATTTGTGGTATATACTATATGTGGTTTCACTTTTAGGCAATACTGTTTTGCCCTTTCGTATATGTGATTTTTGTAATAAAGAGAATTAAGATCTTATTACATATTTGCTTGGTGTATATGTGCCTACAAAGTCCATATTTATACTTAGTTATATTTTAGATTGGCCCTTCCTTTGGAAAAAAATGGATGATCCCAAACATGATGGACAAGTGTCTTTTTTTTTTTCAAGCTAGCAGATAATGTAACTATATGTGCACGATTTTACTCATCAAAAGCTTTTATTTAAAGACTCACTTATAAATTACTTTCAGTCTGTTAAATAAGTACCACAACTTTCTAGGTTATATTGTCGAATTAGATTTAAAAAATGTCAAAATATGGTAACAGATGGACAACGACACCCTGGAAACACCACCAAGAGGGTGTCACATATAGCATAATTTATCATGTCTTTCAAAATCTCATATTCAAACTTCCCTGTGGTGTACATCTGTCTTTAATTCTTTTTACACTGAGTGGTATTAGAAATTGGGTTTTGCTTCATCATTGCTTTTATGCATTTGGTTTAACCATTAAAAGTGCAATAAAACCATATTATCATATGGCTTGTTTATTGTAGAAATAATAGTGCATGCATAAAGGAGACTTTTAAAATGCTACTTAATAAACAATTAAAACTTGTCACGTAGATAACACAGTGATAACAGCTTTCAAAATACAGGGAACTAAAATACAAAGATTGGCTGTTATATTTTCACATTTGCTTGGTATCTCTGGCATTTCAAGGGGTAATGTAATGTAAAATTACAGTTATAGTCTGTAGCAAACTTGTGCCTTGACCTTGCGTGTCACCTATCAATAGTTTCTTTTCTGTTCCTACACAGAATCATGTACCCTGTACTTAAGGGTTTGGACTGTTGCTTTGCCAAGCATGGCATAACACCTGAGGAAAGATGAAGATGGCAAAGATATTGTGGGTACCTCTAAAGATTGCTGAAGGTTAGATGAGATCAGCAGCAATGCCAGTAAATGCCAGATCCACTTTGGACATAGTGTAGAGGTTTCCTGCAGCAGGTGAGTCTGTGTTGCAATGAGACATGGCCTTCAAATTTCTGATCCCATCAGTTCAAAGCACCAATTTCCCCCCAGCTGTCCTCTAATTCTGGCAGGGATGACTTCATCTAGAGTCACAGCTGTGCTGCAGCTGGCAGTGCAGTGCATGTAAGGCAATACACTGTACAATAGACTGTAGCAATGCACAGTTCTGTGCTCACCACCACTGCAGTGATGTGCGTTTCCATACTCAACCCATTCAAAGAACAGGTATACATCTGCTAGACAAAATAATCTTTTCGCAAGAACAACATAGGTCAAAAACAAATAGTCAAAAAATTAACTTTATCAGTAAATCATATTAAAAGCAATCCTCAGATATGTTGAAGCAGAGGGATTTTTTTAGAAGATAACAAGCTTGTTCTTCCCAGAATAACAGATTTCTACCATCTTGTTAAAGTGGCAGTAAACACTTGTGTGACATTTTTACCTACAGGTAAGCATACAATAAAGCTTACCTATAGATAAAATTAATATCTCCTAAACATGCACCGATTAGGAGATATTCCAGCAAGCAGCAGCAGGTGACATCATCAGCACACTCTTAAGGAACAGTATACCCGTGCCATTCCTTCAGAGCTCTGTGCCGTGCCCTGGACTCTTGTGCATGCGCAGGAGTGAGGTCATTGAGGTTTGGCCAGTCAGACAGCCAGAGCCTGTGAACACATAAGGAAACCCAGGTGAAGATGTATAGCCCTGTTAGCGGTGACAGCGCGCCACTGGAGGGCTTTATTTTACATTAAGTATATCATAATGTGCTAGTATGTGTCACATACTAGCACATTATGATATTACCTTGCAGTGGGAAACCTTTTTTTTTTTTCCACAAACTTTACAACCACTTTAATTCTCATCATTAATGTATAAGATGGCTAATCCTGACATGTATAAAAGTGAACAAATAACTGTAATACAAAGTACAGATAGCATGTGTTTGATCACATAAGTAATGTGTAGCTTGATATGCAGTAATGACAAAAATTCTGTAAAAGAACTGCAAGCAAGAACAGAAATTATGTAATAAATATGTAGCTTGAAAAGTTGTTTTCCTGTGACTTCTGTACAAGGTAGAAAAGGTTGTCTACAAGACGATATTGCTCATGTGCATCCTAGCACCAACTAACTATAGCCCACAACCATACCTGTAAATGACTTCTTATATGATCTTCTTTTTCCAAGTTCTACCTTAAAGGGTATCTTACCTTAGAGACTTGGAGCATTCTTGACAAGCAGGGATGGGTAAATCTGGAAAGCACTCACTCGTTCAAAAATCCGTCTGATCTGACTCAAATTTTGGTGCATGGTTTAGTTTGGTTATAATTATTTGCTTTGAATTACAAAAAGTCTTACTATTGACATTTACTGGATTAAAATTAAGTGTTTAATAAGAAAAAAAAATTGTTGAACATTTATAAAGGCACCAGAGGTGGAAATTTAGTTAAATTCATCTCCAGAGCAGAAACTAGGTGCATTTTTAATGATTCACTCAGACCCCAGGTCTAATGCGTAGGTTGAATTATTTGTTTTTAAATTAATTTAAGGCCAACTCAGGGCAAAATCACATTTTAACAGCAAAAAGGGATGAGCTGCCACTTGTTCAAAGATTTGGTAAACAGCGAACTAAATTGGTGTTCAGTCAAGTTGATCCTCTGGTGCATCAAAAAGTGAAACATTTAACAGAAGTTCTACTACTGCTGCTAAATGTGACAGCTTCAGCTCAGGCTGGTTGTTAGAAAGTCAGCAGCTGCCAGTGTCATAACAACCATGAATTAACCTCTACCAACCCATTTAGTGGTCAGCTGGGTAAACAAAGGGGTAAACACAGAAGCAGACAGCACTACCACCCTATACAGCTGATCAAATGAATGTCCGAAACCAGTGCCCCGCTCTTAGCCTCAGCAAGCCATTGCCATAACAAGCAATCAAAAGAGCCAGCATCACGGACAACTGCGATCCATTCTTCTTTATTCAAATACAATAAAGCAACATAACATCAAGGAACAAACGTTTTGACACATTTCAGCCCATACAGGCCTTAGTCACAACAATTTGCAAACAAGTATGCAGGTAATTAAGTACATTCTGCTACCATTAACTGTAGGGGAGGGAATAAAAACCCAATCACTAGAAAACTGACATACACAACAGCTAAACATACATAAAAAATGGAAATTTAGTCAAACATAAACATTAAAACCAGAAAAAATAATACATGTACTGGTATTACACTAGACGAAATGTCAAAAAATTAGCACAGCACAGAAGGTTAGAAGGTGGCCTTCATTCCACTGAAATCTAGCAACCTCTGAAGATGTGCATTTGCATGAAACTTTCCAGAGCGGAGCTGCGTGCTGATGTCACGCCACCACTTACGTTTCTAGTGGCCATCTGAGTAATTGCACTGCTGTTTGTTTCTAATTATTGGCATCTGGATGCATGGATTTTATGTACTTCTGAAGTTGTTTTAATAAACTACTACACTATATCCGTTCTCTATCATTGATGTCACATGGGGTGGGATCACATGCGTGATGTCCCGGGTGGCCCCGCCCCTTACATATTTAAGAGCTGTCTTTTATTGGGTCGGCGGTGGCTTACGCTGTGATTGTCCATGGATCTACTTTGGAGGACATTCTTTTGGATTTTTCTTTTATTAAACGACTTGTCATATACTGTGTCCTGTCTTTTTTTACACCACACTTTTTGTTTTTTTGTGAATGAGTAGAGGTATCATGTTCCCTATACTCATTCACGTGGGGGGCTTGATCTGGGGGCCACTGGCCAGGGTTGTGGGGAAGAGGCCTTTGTCCCCATCAACATGGGGACAAGGTGCTTTGGGGGGGCTGGCCCCCCTGCCCCAAAGCACCCCCTCATGTTGAGGGCATGTGGCTTGGTATGGTTCAGAAGGGGGGGGCGCTTGCTCATTCCCCCCCCTTTCCTGACCTGCCGGGCTGTATGCTCGGATAAGGGTCTGGTATGGATTTGGGGGGAACCCCATGCCTTTTTTTTTAAATTTTGGCATGGAAGTTCCCCTCTAAATCCATACCAGACCCGAAGGGCTTGGTATGGATGGGAGGGTGGACCCCACACCGTTTTTAAATAATTTTTTAATTCCTGGCAATGCTTTTACATTCAGCTGTCAGTGGGGAACTCCGCTGACAGCTGTAACATGAACACTGCATTGGTTTTCACTACTAAAATGCTGCATGACTTGATTATTATTATTATTACTACGAGTTTATATAGCGCCAAAGGGTTTGCTCAGCGCTGTACAATAGGGGGGACAATACATGGCACAGTACAACAACAACAAACAACGTACGAGGGGTAAGAGGGCCCTACTCTTACGAGCTTACAATCTAGGAGGGAGGGGGTAAAGGTATAGTAGGAAGTGGCTGAGGGGGATGAAGTGGTGGGAGGAATGAGGGAGGATGGCCGTTAGGTGAGGGTGGGGTAGGCTTCCCTGAAGAGATGGGTTTTGAGGGAGCGCCTGAATGTGAATAGGGAAGGCGACAGTCTGATGGATTGGGGCAGTGAGTTCCAGAGGATGGGGGAGGACCTGGAGAAGTCCTGCAGTCGTGCATGGGAGGAGGAGACCAGGGAGCAGGATAGAAGGAGGTCCTGTGAGGAGCGAAGGGTACGGGTAGGGTGGTACTTGGTGATCAGGTTGGTGAGGTAGTCAGGGCCAGTGTTGTGAACGGCTTTGTAGGTCAGGGTTAGGAGTTTAAATTTGATGCGTTGGGCAATCGGGAGCCAGTGGAGGGAGAGGCAGAGGGGGGTGGCAGAGGTGGAGCGGGTGGTGAGGTGGATGAGTCTGGCAGCTGAGTTCAGGATGGTCTGGAGCGGGGAGAGCCTGCACTTGGGTAGGCCAGTGAGGAGGGAGTTGCAGTAGTCGACTTGATAAAATAACTCATGCTTTATTTTAGTAGTGACACCATGTGTTAATGTTTCAGCTGTTAGCAGGGTTCCCCACTGACAGATGAATGTAAAAGAATTACCGGAAATTAAATAAATACTAAAATAAATGGCGGGGGGTCCTCCCTCCCATCCTTTTGGGTCTGGTATGAATCTTGAGGGGTAACTCCACGCCAAAATATTTATTTTTATTTATTTATTTATTTATCGAGTTTATATAGCGCCAAAGGGTTTGCTCAGCGCTGTACAATAGGGGGGGACAATACATGAAACAGTACAGTAACATCAAACAGCACACAAGGGGTAAGAGGGCCCTACTCTTTTGAGCTTACAATCTAGGAGGGAGGGGGTAGAGGTACAGGAGGAAATGGCTGTGGGGGATGGAGTGGTAGGAGGAGGGAAGGGCAGCGGCTGTTAGGTGAGGGTGGGGTAGGCTTCCCTGAAGAGGTGGGTTTTCAGGGAGCGCCTGAAGGTGAGGAGGGAAGGTGACAGTCTGATGGATTGGGGTAGTGAGTTCCAGAGGATGGGGGAGGACCTGGAGAAGTCTTGCAGTCGTGCGTGGGAGGAGGAGACCAGGGAGCAAGATAGAAGGAGGTCCTGTGAAGAGCGAAGGGTACGGGTAGGGTGGTACTTGGGAATCAGGTCGGTGAGGTAGTTAGGGGCAGTGTTGTGAATGGCTTTATAGGTCAGAGTGAGCAGTTTGAATTTAATGCGTTGGGAAATGGGGAGCCAGTGGAGGGAGAGGCAGAGGGGGGTGGCAGAGGTGGAGCGGCTGGTGAGGTGGATGAGTCTGGCAGCTGAGTTCAGGATGGTCTGAAGCGGGGAGAGTTTGCACTGGGGTAGGCCGATGGTGTGGGGTCCCCCCCAAATCCATACCAGACCCTTATCCGAGCATGCAGCCCGGCAGGTCAGGTAAGGGGGGGGACGAGCCATGTGCCCTCAACGTGGGGGGGTGCTTTGGGGCAGGGGGGCTGCCCCCCAAAGCACCTTGTCCCCATGTTGATGGGGAGAAGGGCCTCTTCCCCACAACCCTGGCCGCTCATCCCCCCTTTCCTCATCTGCCGAGCTGCATGCTTGGATAAGGGTCTGGTATAGATTTTGCGGGGGACCCCATGTCACTTTAAGATCCATACCAGACCCAAAGGGCTTGGTGTGGATGGGAGGGGGACCCCACACCTTTTTTATTTATTATGGTGCCGGTTTTTAAATGTAATTCTCGCTTTTTTTTTTTTCTTTACTATAGCTCAGAAATTCAGCTGTCACTTCCCCCAGCTAAAGGAGAACGTTTTCTTTGAGTTTATATCCCTAAAGGAAACAATGTTTACTTTTAGTTTATTAAAAGATACAAAGTTTTCTGTAACTTTGGGGAAAGTGATAGATAAGCTTGTGAACTTTAGTGAAGAAAAAAAAAGGCTGGCATTGTCATTTAAAAATCAGCGCCGACATACACTTTGTATTACGAAAACAATTATTAACAATTTTGTAAACCGAGGCATTCTTTTCAATGGATTTTCATTCGTAAACTGAAAATTACGTTAACCAAGGCGTTGGTAAACCGAGGTACGCCTGTATTAGTATTACAATCCTTTGTATTGGGATACATAGAACCAACATACATTTGAATTAGCAACATAGCACAACATTTGTGTCACATTTGAGATATCTGGCTAGTTACACTGACCTTGCCAAAGGACTTAGGGTTGATTCACACCACAGAAATAGAGGCTGGATTAGTATCACAGCTCAGTGGATAAGTGGTTAGCACTGCTGCCTCACAGCGCTAGGGTCGTTGGTTTGAATCCCAACCACGGCAATGAAATTGCATGATCTCCCTGGGCAGCTACCCTAACATAGATGTGCTGGTGGCAGCATCTTTGCTTTCTGTCTAAATGATCCCTAGATCACGCCATGTCTTGCGTTACAGTGCTGTGTTTCACTGACAATTGCAATGCTTCATTAAAATTAAATTTGTGTCCTTTTTATCCCACAAATTGAGCTTCCTTTTGGTGGTATTTCATCGCCTGTGCGTTTTTTATTTTCTGCGCTAAAAAAAAAATAGACCAACAATTTTGAGAAATAAACAATATTTTTGACTATTTGCTATTAAACTTGTCCAGTAAAAAATTTAAAAAATCATATTTTGTCATAAATTTAGGCCAAAATGTATTCTCCTACATGTCTTTGCTAAAAAAAAATCCCAATACGTGTAAATTAAATGGTTTACATGAAAGTTTTAACATTTACAAATGGCGGTATAGATACTGTGATTTTTATTTTTACTAGTAATGGCAGCGATCAGCGACTTATAGAGGGACTGTGGGAGTGCAGCAGGCATTTTGACATTGGGGGGAAATGACTTGGTGTCACTGACATCCCCAGGGACACCATTACAGTGATCAGGGCTAAAAAAAAAGCACTGACACTGTACTAAGGGCACTGGGCAGGAAGGGGTTAACATGAGGGGTAATCAAAGGGTTAATTGTGTGCTGTGTGCTGTTTTACTTGTGTATATGCTTCACAGTAATCACACTGCTTTGCATGGGTGTGCTTGTTTAAATACAGTTCTCCTCCCCGTCGGAGATGCTTGGCAATCACTGGGCGCTGGTGAGTAATCACCGGCCAGAACCTGCTGATTGACAGCCACAGCTATGAATGGCGGTGCGGGTAGGGCGCGCTCCCTGGCCGGAAATGCAGAATCACGTATATATACGTGATTTTGCGCACCCGTGCTGCCCTGTAGCAGTATACCTGCTAAAGGGTGGTCAGAAAGCGGTTAACTTAAGTCTGCACATACCCTTTTACTTTTGTTGTACACCATCAGGTTCATTTTCTCCAAAGCTTTGTGAAATTTAACTTTGCAAAAATGACCAAACATACAAGGAAATATTTTTGTTTCCACATAATTGGCTGATGGAAGTCAGCAGAGCTTTACCTAATTTACTAAGCTCTGAGGAAAATTCACTTGCATAGTGCTACTTTCCTTGCAAAGTGAACTGTATATTTACTTAGTGGGTCTCTCATTTAGATCTATCACGGGTTATCAGGCTGTAGGCAGCTGCCTAAAAGGAGAATGTACCATGTTAGTATACTAGCTAGTCTGCCAAGGTTAGGGAAGGGTTGATGCTAGTTCTACCATTCCTAGTCTTTCTGGGCACTGCGTCTCTCACTGTGCTTTGCTCACATGGGGTCTGCATGGGAGGAAGACAGAGACAAACCATATACGTTTATTCTCCATCTGCAGGCCTGCAATTGGGGGGGCTGACAGCCCATTCAGAAGTAGGGGGCCTGGTCATCTTGAGGGGTCCTGGCCCCAACCAGGGCTGCAGGAGGCCCCATGAGAGTCCTCCGTACCTCTGTCTTGATGAACCTGTGCTGAATCCCAGAGCTCCGGTAACTGGACTGAAAGGGGTGCACTAGCATGGGCACCTGCTCCACATCTCTTGCAGGGTGCCCGGGGTCCCACATGCAGCAATTGCCCCCTGTGGCAGCCGACACCAGCATCTCTCTCCACTGTCGTTTTGCATACCTCCTCGGCTCTAATGTTCTCATGTGCACAGACAGAAGGAGGACCTTGCACTGCAAGAGCTGCGCTGATCTGAGGTCTGGGTTTAGTTTATGGATACAGAGGTGGGGGACACAGTAAACAGGAAAGGGGGGATGGGGTGCAGGTAACAAGGATGCACACATGGAAGAGTGATGGGAGAGGTGGGTAAGAGGATATGTGCTGTGGGGGTACTTTGGATACGGAGAGGTTACTCCAGGGGCCCCTTTCTGTCCTCATTGCAGGGGCCCCTTCTGTCCTCATCCCAGGAGTCCCTCTCTGTCCTCATCCCAGGGGTCCCTCTCTGTCCTCATTCCAGCAGCCCATCTCTGTCCTCTTCCTATGGCATCCCTCTCTGTTCTCATCCCACGGGTCCCTCTCTTTTCTTAACCCACAGCATCCCTCTCCATCTTCATCCCACAGGTCCCTCTCTGTCCTTATCCCAAGGGTCCCTCTCTGTCCTTATCCCAAGGGTCCCTCTCTGTCCCTCATCCCAGGGGCCCCTCTATGTCCTCATCCCAGGGGACCCTCTCTGTCCTCATCTCAAGAGCCCCTCTCCATCATCATCCCAGGAACCCCTCTCCATCCTCATTCCAGGGGCCCCTCTCAGTCTTCATTCCAGGGGCCTCTCTCTGTCCTCATCCCAGGGCCCCAGTACAGCCATCCAAAGCAGTGTGATTACAGTGAAGCACACTGACATGGCCCCTATGTAAACCACTCCCTGCACACAGTTAACCCTTTGATCGCCCCTCATGTTAACCCCTTCCTGCTCAGTGCTTTTTTTTTTAGCACCGATCACTTTATTGGTGTCACTGGGGATGTCAGTGACACCAAGTCAATTCCCCCCAGTGTCAGAATGTTCACTGCAGTCCCGCTATAAGGTGCTGATTGCCGCTATTACTAGTAAAAATAGTATTTAAAAAAAATCCCAGTATATAGGCCGCCATTTTTAAATGCTATAACTTTCACATAAACCAATTAATTTCCACGTTTTGGGATTTTTTTTTTAGCAAAGACATGTCGCAGAATACATTTTGGCCTAAATTCATGACGAAATTTGATTTTTTAAATTTTTTTACTGGATATGTTTAATAGCAAAAAGTCAAAAATATTGTTAATTTCTCAAAATTTACGGTATTTTGTTTATAGCGCAAAAAATAAAAAAAACACACAGGTGATTAAATACCACCGAAAGAAAGCTCAATTCATGGGAGCAAAAGGAAGTAAATTTCATTTGGGTTCAGTTGTTGCATGACTGCACAATTGTAAGTTAAAGTAACGCAGTGCCATAATGCAAAAAATGGCCTGGTCAGAAAGGGGGGTAAATCCTCAAGAGGGCAAGTGGTTAAGCTTTTGTTGTATGTGCCCTTTAACAGATTTGGTATGCACAATGCCATCAGTTGAACCATCAGTCATCTTTAGACTGATTTTTATCAGTAGAGAGGCTCTGCTTGGCTGAATATATCTTCCTCTCTTAGTAGTCTCTTACTGAGATGAAAATCTTGGATGTGTCTTCCTGACTTAGCTGTCCACAGACTCTAGTTTCTTGATCTCTGTGGAAAAAAAAAACACAATTTCACCACTTTTTTAGGGTCACAGTATATATGAAAAGGTTTCTTGATGTCTTTCAAAATTAGGTTATCTTTGTGATTTTCTTTTAATAAAGCTTGAAAAATGTATCTGACTTTTCCCCAATTTAGCAATGAAACTGCTTTATTTTATGTTTCATCAGCAGACAGCTACATACAGAGGAAACTCTTCCTTCCAGTATTTCCATGTTTGAGACAGGTTAAATGAACTCACATCTAGTTTCCCATGGTGCTTTAATTCACTCTCTTTTTACAGACAGTCCAAAGTCAAAAAAGCCCTACAAATAAGGAGAGCCTGGAAATCCAATGCAAAGAGTTCTGTGCCTGGTTGACTGGGTTGTTCAAGCAGCTGCCCAGTGAACCAGGGAATTATATTTTCAAAAGAGACAAAAGAAACAGGGCATATCTAATACCAAACATGAAAAATGTATTGACATACAATGTTCACCTTTCTAAGTGGCCAGGAAAACAGAAATGATTCACAAGAAAAAGACTTGAACGTTAATCCTTCATAATATATGCAGTCCAGGGTTTGCTCACAAAGATTTTCAGTCACTAATAGATAAAACTTATAACACCTAAGTGCAGCGAGATCAAACAGCAGAAACATACTCACAGGATAGGACTCCCCAGATATTGATGCTGGATGTAATTTGCCATGGTTCAAGTTCTGATTGACAGTGTATGTCCATAGGATGCAGGTCTGAATCCACAATCCATGCTGTATGAATAAAATTATTATTTTTTTAAATGTTAAGACTCAATGTGTTTTGCAGTGAGCATCACTTTTTTTTCAGAAGTAACAGATATTTTCTTTGCATTCTCGAAAAGAGCCCTTCCTCAGCTTGATGCAAATAATAAAAAAATAGGATTTTGCTTTTAGGATCTGGGAATATAGTAATTCTATGTATTACAAAATAAACTAGTCACAACTGCAATGTAAAAATGATAGCAGACAAAGTGATTATAATTTATTATTATTATACAGAATTTTATATAGTGCCAACAGTTTGGGCAGAGCTTTACACAATTAAGG